TTTCCAGAGCCATTTCCCTCTCCATTACTCCAAGACAGGAAGAGTTCCTGCGTGCTTGCACTCTGCTGGAATTTATTTTGCAGCAGTTTACAGGTCCCTTCATAGCTGCCTTGGCACATGGCTCCAGTCATTCCTCGAGTCCACTTCCTCTGGAAAATTCCACTTGCCACTGAAGGAAAAGCGGCGCCGGCGCTGCTGACGCAATCGCAGCTTTCCTGCAGGAGCACAGAGGTTGGTAAATCATCCCTGGCCTTTCCTTCTGGAGAAAAGGGAGCTGGAAGAGCAGCCCCGAGCCAGGCTGACGTCACTGCTGCCCAGGGCTGATAAGGTTTGGTTCCCTGGCCCAGGGATGGGGAAGGACAGGAAGCGCTTTCCCCTGCACGCTCATTTTCCCCTCCAAGATTAGAAATGCTTGGGCAGCATTTGCATAATACATGAGGAGAGCTTGAGCTGGGCAGCTTTTTTCTCCCCCTCTCCATAGTTTTGTTGGACTCAGTGACGTTCAGCTGGGTTTTTTTGGGAGGCAGGTTTATTTGGGAGCTGGCTGAGCCATGCTGGGGTGCTGCCAGCTGGAGCTGCTCTGCTCCTCCTCTCCCTGCCAAAGCCACGCTCAGCTTCACTTCTCATGATTGCTGTCATTACATTCCAGCCAAATGGGCATCAGCCTCTTCCTTCTGGAAAAGAAAACTTTTAGTTGTTTTAAGGGTAAATTTGCCTTTGGAAGCTGCTGCCCAAGTGATTCTTGAGGATCTTGGTGGAAATTCAGGTGATTTTGGTCACTTTTGTCTTGTCTTTTCTTCCCTCTAATTAATTTTTTTAAAACCTTGTGGAAGAGACTTAGGAGTTAATTCTGAAATATTTCAATTGTTTCCTAAAAATTGGAATTTGGTGAAAAAGATTGGGATGAACATGAGAGTTCTTTGCCACTCTCTGTTCTGAAGTGGGTGAGGTTTGCCAGCAGCCTGGGCAGCTGTGTGAGGTTGAGGATGAGCTCCTGAGCTGATCTCAGGCTCACCAGCCCTGGAGTTCTTCCCTCCTTTTCTCCATGGCAGGTTGATCTCACTGAGCCAGCAGCAAATCATTCTTATTTTTTGATTTCTTGAATTCAGGAGCTGGGAGCTCCACCAAGCCCCAGATCCAGCACAAAATGACCTGGCTGTAGGAGTGAAAGTGAGGAGGAATCCTGCCCTCCTCATCTCCCAGCCGTGGGAGATGGCCAGGCTGTCATTGGGATGCTGTCTAGGGAGCTGCTCCAGCTCACCTTCATTCTGCCTCCTGAATTCCACTGGAGAACATGAATCCAGCAGCCCCAGATCCCAGTTTTTGGTTGAACGAGTTTCTTTGGTGATGCCACACGTTGGAAGCTCTGAGGGAAGGCTTTGAAATTGTCCTGACAGGAGCAGCACCTTCCTCGTCTGTAGCATTTAGTGCTGAGTCAAAAAGCCAAGCACGCCCCAAAAGGAGGCTTTCTGTTGTGGTTTTCCTGGGGAAAAACCTTTCCTCCAGAAAGTGACTTCATCCAGAGGGAATTGCATCAAACCAGGTAATAGGTGCAAGTAAGTGAGATTTGCTTTCAGACTCATCCCTGCTCCCAGCTGGCACCCAAGCTTGGAGTTCAGCTGGAGTTGTTCCAGCTCCCAGCATGGGCTGTTGGATGTGAGTTTGAGGTTGTTTTAAGGGAGAAGAAATCCTGGAGGATGCTTTTCTTTCTGAAAACTGGTTCAGGAGGGAGTTGAGCCTGGAGAGATCCCAGTTTTAGGCTGAACTAGTTTCTTTGGTGATGCCCCACATTGGAAGCTCCAAGGAGCATTTTTTAGTTCATGGACTCGTGGGATACCCTGAGCTGGAAGGGACACACAGGGATCTTGAGCCAATGCTTAGCCCTGCCCAGGACACCCCAAAATCCAATCCTGAGCAGAGTCCAAAGGCTCCTGGAGCTCTGGCAGCCTCAGGGCTGTGCCCAGTCCCTGGGGAGCCTGGGCACCCTCTGGGGGTAGAGCCTTTCCTGATATCCACCCTAAACCTCCCTGGCAGAGCTGTTGCTTTCCACATTTGTCATTCTGGAGAAACTTCTGCAGAGGTTTTATCCTAGATAAAGCTGCCTCTGCCTGCCTGTGCCTGCAGAATGTTCCCCCTGCATCTCCCAGAGCTCACAGACCCCAATTCCCTGGGAAGGGACACTGGATCAGGATATTGGGCATTTTCCATGAGCTCCCTCACATGGTTTTCTCTCCTCCTTTCCTTGTTCTTTATCCTGCTGCTTCATGCAAGGTGTGGAGGCTTTTCCCAGTTTCCTTTCCTTCTTTCTCTCCTCTGGTTGATTTGAGGATATTCCAGAGCTGAAATTGGCAATTCCAAATGGATTTGTAAACATGTGCTGGAAGGAGCCCTCGAGCCCAGCTTGTACTATTGAATGTTAGCAGGTTATAACATACTCCGAGTGGTGGAGCTCCTCCAAGGTGAAATACTCATGGAATTGTGGGGAAACTGGACCAAAGCACTGCAGGTACCCTGTGCTGGGTTGAACAGTGTGTGCTGGGGCAGTGCTGGGAAAGGGGGAGGATGGAATGGGGCTGCTGGGGAGTAAAGCTCAGCATGACCCTGCCTGGGGCTCCCCCCCGGGCACTCAGCACTGCTGTGTGAGGATCCAGTTCTCTTCTGGAGGATCCAGTTCTCCTCTGCCAGGGCTGCAGTGAGATTGGTGGGAGGGGTGAATGTGAAAGGAGGGGTTTTCCTCCGAATATTCTAAGGGAGTTGTGGGACAAAGAGTAAAACTGCTTTTACATCAGCAGAGATAAGGAAAGAGTCGGATGCTGGATTTTTTAGGTCAGCACATCCCAGTCCTGGGCTGGGGAAGAGAAACTCTGCCAAAAAGGAGGGGATGAGGCTTCTGTGAGGTGTGAACTCGTCAAAGGACAGGCTCCTGACCAAGAGCTCTCATTATCCTGGGGTTTGTTGAAGTGTGCCTGGAATTATTAGAAAACTTGGAGGTGGCTGTTTTTATCTCAAAAAGTTAGAGGAAGTTGTTTGGGGAGTGGTTGCTTCGGTGGTGTGAGTAATGGGGTGGTACTGGCTGAACCCAGCGGGGAAGGGGCCTTTCCTTCCCCAAATTCCCTGGGAACTCACTGCTTTGAGGAAAGCAATAAATGCATCATTGTCCTGCTAATTTGGTGAGTTCAAGAGGCTTCAGAAAGCTTTAATCCCTCACAAGCTCTGCCTGAAACCCCAGGGAGAAGGTTAGAAGCAGGTAATTGAGGAGTTGAGTGCAGGTTAGAGCGAGGGCAAGGAAAAATTCCAGGTTAAATCACCCAGAGATAAGAGAGGTAATAAAGTCTTAGTCTCCAGAAACTCATCCTGGAGTACTTAAGGAAGTGTCTGGTGCAGGTGCTGAAAAGTTGGCCCTGAGTTATTTTCAGAGGGTTGGAGAGGAGAAAGGAAACCTGGAGAACCAAAAAGTGGGAAATGAAAGTAGAGCCCTAAAAAGAGAAGGGAGGAGATGGAGAGTGAGGCCTGGCTGGGCGCCTCGTTTGGTGGTGTTTGAGCACCCGGAGAACAAGCCAGGGACAAACCAGCCTGCCCTGTGGCCAGGGGGAGGGAACTGCTCCCTTTGGAAGGGGAAAGGAGGTCACTGGGTCCTGGCCTGTGACAGCCCCAGGGGTGTCCTGGTGATGGGGACACTGGAGAGTCCAGCCCTGCAGCAGGCTGGGCTGGCTCCAGCTCGGTGTGCTCTCGGCAGGACCAGCTTTCCCTTCTCTTCCCCTTCCCTTCCCCTTCCCTTCCCCTTCCCTTCCCCTTCCCTTCCCCTTCCCTTCCCTTCCCTTCCCTTCCCTCTTGCCTCTGTCCATGCTCGGGGTCCAAGGGCTGAGCCAGGAGCTCACAGTGCTCCGTGGGACAGGGCAGTTCCCAGAACTCTGCTGGTTTGCAGAGCAGCGCTGCTTTGTCCCAGGTTCACAGACTGAGAGCTCCCCTAACTCCTCACCACCCCAAAACGCTGCTGGAGTCCCACAGGGCAGACTGGGAGCTGTAAGCAATCAGTCTGAGGCAGGAATTTGGGGGTTTTTCCATGGCCATGTATGTTTATGTATGCATCTTATTATAGTATGTGAATACTAATTAATAATTAATTATTTATTAATATATTCTGGTATTGCTAATTAATATATTGGTAATATATTAATATTGTATAATGGCATCATTATATAATATATTAATATATTATTACCACTATATTGTTGTATTATATACAATTACATATGTAAATGAATAGAAATATATATACATATATAATATATATTACATATAAATAAATATAAATATATACATATAATACATATTATAGTATATGTATTATAATACATATATATAATACATATATATATAATACATATTATATATAATTATATTATAATTACATATATTATATGTATATTATACATATAATGTATATTATATACATTTAATATATACATATTAAAATATATAATATAAAAGTATATACCATATATAAATATATGTAATTATGTTATATATAGTTATATATAGTAATTACATTTTATATTATATATATAATTATATTACATTAATTATCCTTATATAGCAATAATATTCTATTATTATAGTATATATAATTTTATATAATAGTATAATATTATAGTACAGTATTGTATTAATTATTATATAATCATATTTTATATCATATATATAATTATATTGTAACTTATTGTATAGAATTATATTATATAGTGTTTATGTTATATACATTTTCTATTATATTATCATTATATGGTAATAATGTCATTATATAATATATTACATTATGTTACATTACATTATATTACATTACACTATATTATATTTATTATATTACATATATAATATAATGATGTTATCCTACATTCCGTTCTGTCATGATCCTGTTGCTGCACTGCACGTTTCTGGCTGTTCCCTGCCCTGGTGCTCCCTGTTCCCGGCCCCGCTGCTGACGTGTCCCTGTTGCGCAGCCGGCAGCCCGAGGCCCCGAAGAAGGACAAGGACGCCGCGTTGCTGGGCAGCGCCCCGTCCAAGCGGGCAGACGAGTGGAAGGACCCGTGGCGCCGGTCCAAGTCCCCCAAGAAGAAGCTGGGCGTGTCCGTGTCCCCCAGCCGCGCGCGCCGGCGCCGCAAAGCCTCCGCCTCGTCCGCCTCCGGCTCGGGCTCCTCCAGGTGAGAGCCACGGCCGGCCAGGGCATCACGGCAGCGTGGTACTCCTAGGAACCGGCCTTGGGCTGTCGTGTTCCCCAGCATCGCTCTCATTCCCTGCTTGTGACAGTGGGAAGATGCCAGCAGCTCACATCCCAGGCAGCAGACCGAGAACTCAATGTTACAACTTATTGTACGAGTTTTTTAACCAATCACACAAAGCAAAAGCTGACTGGCAGTAGTTCTATCCAACCACTGTAAGCACACGTACCTTTGGTTAAAACAGTGCTTGCTTATTTTACATATACAATACAATATCTGTTTGTAAGCCTGAAAACACAATGCACAGAGCTCCATTATTAAGCTTAGAACTTCCTAATATCTCACTAAATATACTTTTCTGCAGCTTAGGCACTTATTCTAGACAAACATTAATGCACAGACCATTGTTCTATTTGTCTTTACTTTTCTACTTTTTATGTAATTTGTGCTGGCAGAACAAAATATCAAAAACAGGAACAGGAATGGGTTTCTACACACATATGCTTCTGTTATAACTTCTAAACTCTTAGCTTATTCCATACAACCACACCCTTACAAACCCTTCACCATCTTATCAATACAGTTTTCTACACTATAAGCCCTTCACTATCTTATCAATACAGTTTCTCACTTACTTAAGGCATAGTCTTACTTACAACTATAGAAGCACAAGTTTATGATTTTTCTGCCTAATGTCTGTGTATTGTGTTTTTACATCAATCCAAGTGTCTCCCAAGGCTGCAGATCAAACCCTTCAGTGCCTGTGGAAGTTTCTGTTTTTCCTATTCCCACATGTGCCCAGGGAAGGTGTTGAGGTGATTGGAACAGGCTGTCCAGAGAGGTTGTGGATTCTCCATGCCAGGGATAGTGGGTGGTGTCCCTGCCCAGTGGAACTGGATGGTCCTTAAGGTGCCTTCCAAACCAAACCATTCCATGGTTTTATGTTTGGGAAAGCAGTCCAAGACTTGCTGCTCAAGAGCATCTATGGACACAGAGTGAGATGGGAGCCAAAGCAGGCAGGGAGCTGTGGGAGCTGTGCTGTGACTGTTGGAGACCAGGAAAAGGCAAATCCTTGGAAAAACCACTTTTCCAGTGAATTAGAGCTGGATGCAGTCTGCATAATAGCAGCTCAGTGTGTCTCAGCCCCATATTCCAAGTCATGGTGTTCCTCTGGGATGAAACACTCATGGAATTGTGGCTATAATTTGGAAAACCTGAGCAAACCACTGCAGATACCCTGCAAGAGCTGGGAGCTGAAAAACTGGGTCCTGGTCATTCTGGGATGGATGGATGGAGGGAGGAGTTGAGCTCACTCCAGTAAGAGCAGGTTGATGCTGCTGGGAGAACTGGGATTGTGGAGGTTTGACAGAGCCTTGGAGAGCTGGAATGGGGCTTGGAAACCAACGGTGTAAAATAAGATAAAAACCACATTTCAGAATGAAACTCCCTGAATCTAAAAGCCTTGAGGCACAAACTGGATCTATTTCCTTTAAATGCTTGAATTTGAAGCTCCTGAAAGAGAGGGGAAAGTATCCAGGAGGAACGAGGAACACATTAAATTGGAGATAGACATCTAAGAGGCAGAGCCCTCCTGGAGCAGATTTTCCTGCTGGGATCACTGCACCCAGCCAGGTGATCTGTCAGGGGATTGTCCAGTGAAAAGGCACAAAATATGTGGAAGCAGTTCCCAAAAAGGCTGGAACATCAGTAATTAAAGGAAGGGAGGCTTATTTAAGGGTGCAAAGAGAGTAGCAACAGCAGCATCCTCCCTAAAAGAAAAAGGGGATTGGAGGAGAGGCTGTAAATCCTGACAGTTCCCCGAGGAGAAAGCTGTGGGGCTTGGAGCAGAAAATCTTTGGAAGAGAAACTTTGGGGCTTCTCAGGAAGCTCTGAATTGTAATATTTCTTCTCAAGAAGCTCTGAATTGTAATATTTCTTTTCAGGAAGCTCTGAATTGTAATATTTCTCTTGCAGGTCCTCTTCTCGTTCATCCACCTACTCTGGGTCCGGCTCCTCGCGCTCCAGGTCCTCCTCCTACAGCTCCTACTCCAGTCGCTCCTCCAGGCACAGCTCTTTCTCAGGCAGCAGGTCCAGGTAGGGCTCCTGGGACTGGGGACCCATGGTGGGATGGTTTCCAAATGCTTCCTGACAGTTCCTTCCTGCTCTGTTGAGATGAACCATTCCAAGCCCTTGGCTGAGCAAGGCAGGCTGTGGTTGTTGGCTGAAGGAGATCTGTCAGCCACCCCCTCCTCTCCACAGTGCTCCCACCCACAGGTGCAGTGCTGTTGTGGCTGGGCTCTTTCCCATGCCTGTGGTGGATTAACATTCCCATCATTTGCATTTTCTGATTGGAAGAAGTTCAGCAGCATCTCTGTTCTGTGGCGCTGGGATTTCTATTTCAAGAGGCAAATCCCGTTTCTTTATTAAAGCAGTTGTGTCTTGTGATAGTCCTGACACTTCAAAGTAGCAATCCAGTGTCCCATGCTGATTAAGATTTATTCCTCTGCTACTTCCTTGCCCCTGCAGACAGTTTCCCAAGTCTGGAATATCCATAGTGGGAGAACTGGCTCCTTAGATAGGAGCTGAAGCCACACGGGTACCCCGAGCAGATCCCACAGGTGATGGCAGAACACACTCTGTCACTTCTGGGACTGCTTTCTCCTAGCAAAAGCTCAGCTGGGAGCTGATTCCACCTGGGAAGCAGAATGAGCTTCCCCATCCATCCACGCTCCAGGCAGGACAGTGCCAGTGTGGGTGACACCCTTGGCTGCCTCTCCCTGAGGTGACAGGGTGAGGAACACCCTGTGCCCTGCTGTCCCCAGAGGAGCTGTCACGCAGGAGTCAGGCTGCTGAGGCACTGGGGTGCAACCAAGGCACTTCCACTCTTGGCACTGGGGTGAATCACCCCAGGAGCAGCACGTGGTGTGTGCTCAGGGGCTCAGGAAACAGCTCCTGCCCTTGATTGTCACCTTTGGGATGCACCATTTAATGCTGCTTCTTGTGTTCCAGGAATTTCAGATTAGGTTTAGGTGTATTTTTTGTCTTTCTCCCAAGTTTCTTTTGGTTTTGTTGCTGTTTAAAGGATGAACTGCTCTAGGAATTACAGGACATAAAGAACATAAAACTCAAAATCCTGCTTATATTCTTGTGTAGTCTCCCTAAGGAGAGAATAGAGAGGATGGAGACAGCCTCAGGTGTTGCTGTGGAATACCTGGACTGCCTCTCTTCTAGCTGATCTTATTTTTCCTTCTGTTTCCTACTTTTCCCACTGTCTGATGGCAGAAGTTAAGTTTTGTTGCACAGAGTCCAAATATAAAACCAGGAGGAGCTCAGGGAGGTTCCTGGGGAGGAGGCAGTGGTGGCTGAATGCCCTGAGAGCCAGGAAAGGCTCCTGCAATCCCAGAGCCTGAGCTGAGTGATGTCTCCTTCCTTTCCAGGTCAAGGTCCTTCTCATCTTCTCCCTCTCCTTCTCCAACACCATCTCCTCACAAGCCACTGGCCAAGGCTAAAGGGGAATTATTGCCACCTCCTGGGAAAGGGTAAGCATCCAAATTCCTCTGGGTGAGAGTCCAGACAAGCCCTTCTGACCTCCAGGGGCCTTAAGCTGAAGGAATGCAGTATTAAATGGAATATTGGGAAGGAATTGTTCCTGTCAGGGTGGGGAGGCCCTGGATCCCTGGAAGTGTCCAAGGCTGGATGGGGCTTGGAGCAGCCTGGGCTAGTGGAAGGTGTCCCATGGCAGGGAGTGGAAGAGGATCTTTGAGGTCCCTTCCCATCCAAACCATTGTGGGATTCTAAACCTGATTGAGTTGAAAAAAGAAATGAAAGATGCAAAATACAAACTTTATTGAAGAGTTTTTAGCTTGGCCAATTTAATTAAATAATGACACTTACTTATTAAATCCAAGTTAAACTGTACAAGTATCCTTAAATATTACCTGTATACAAGTGTTTAAACACATGATTCACTGCTGGAACATTCTGTGTGTGCAGATATATTTGTATAATCTAAATATACGTAATAGGAGTTGTAAGAAAGTTTAAATTCCTTCCTCTCCTGTGGCTTTGCTTAATCCACAGCCTCAGAATAAAGAAATAGTTCAACCTCATCAACTTTTCACCCTGGAGACAGATGAAAACAGGACTGGAGCTCTCTGCAGCTGGTTTTGACACATTCTGAGAGCCCTGCTGCTCTTTAAATTCCTGAAATTGCTATTTCACAAACCCTGCAGTGGCAAATTACGGGGACGTTGGAGGGTGACACAACACCGTAGTGATGTCACCTCTTCTAAGCTGACCTGCAAATAAATGACACCATGGGAATCCCCCTGAATTCTCCAGAATTTAGGACAATCCCCTTTGCCACAGTTCTTGTCCCTTGTTATCCTGCCTTTTGGGGTTTTTCCCCCTCCACTTGGGGCCCTCTGCTCCCTCCCAGTGCTCCTGGCAGTGCTGGTTTGGTGACACCAGGGCAGCCTGCCCCAGCACAGGGATTATTGTCACTGGCTAACGTGCCATGGGCTTAATCCTGTGTTCTGCAGGGGATAACTGCAGATATTGAGCACAGCAGGAGGAGGAATTGCCAGTGTGTGTGTGCAGACAGCAGCTCCTCCCCAGTTCATGGGTGTGAAATCAGTGCTGGGATGCTCCAGGGCCTCAGGGGGGCTGGGATGCTCCAGGAGATGGAGGGACAGGACACAGGGAATGGCTTCACGCTGCCAGAGGGCAGGGATGGATGGGATATCAGGGAGAAATCCTTCCTGTGAGGGTGGGCAGGCCCTGGCACAGGTGCCCAGAGCAGCTGTGGCTGCCCCTGGATCCCTGGCAGTGCCCAAGGCCAGGCTGGACAGGGCTGGGAGCAGCCTGGGACAGTGGAAGGTGTCCCTGCCATGGCAGGGGGTGGAATATGATCTTCAAGGTGTTTCCAACCCAAAGCATTCCAGGATCATGCCTGGAGCAGTGTCCAGCTGCCAGAGCAGAGGTTGGAGTGCTCTGAGCCCTGAATGGGGCAGCCCTGAGGAGCCAGAGCCATCCCCATCTCCTGCAGTGGCTGTTGGGTGACACATCGGTGCTCCCATCCAGTTTTCCACAGGGAACACAAGCCAAGGGACAGATCCAGGCACACACAGGCTGTTTTGCACCCTCCTGATCTGTGTGCTGGAGTCAAAAAGAGAATTTTTGCATGAACTGTGCACCTTTCATCCTGAAGCTTGACTGGCAGATTTTAAGCAGGTGTAAGTGTCTGGGATAAAAATGATGGAATTAAATGGATAAGACACAACATTTCCACCCAGTCTGCTTCAGGAGTTAATTTACAAGTCAAATATCTCCAGAATTGGCTGTTGTACAGCTGTAATTTGTCTCTGAAAAGATGAATTAGTTGAGCATATGGGGAACAAATCCCTTTAGGGAAATCCATGGTGTTTGTGTTTTGGTAAAACAGCCAAGTGTTTGCAGCTTCAGGAATCGCATCAGGGCCAGGTTGGATGGGGTTTGGAGTAACCTGGGATAGTGGAAGGTGTCCTGTGGAATGGAGTGGAGTGGCATGATTTTTAAGGGCCCTTCCAGCCCAAACCATCCCAGGATTCTATAATCTCTAAAATATTAAACAACAAACCAGAACACATCATTTCTGAGGACATCAGTGCTCTGTGCCCACCCCCTGGGATCACACACCTGAAAATTGTCATTTTTCCAGGGAGAAATCTGTGAAGAAACTCACTGCCCTCCCAGTCCCTCAGCCCCTCACGAAAATTACAGCAGCAGCCCCGGAGGCAGCCAAGGCAGGGGATAATCGGGAAGCAAGGAGGAAGGAACGGCAGACAAGGACTCCACCCAGGAGGTGAGAGATAGGGGGGGTGGAGTGAGGCTTGATCTCATGGCAGGTCCAGCAAATCCCAGGTTTCTGTCTCCTGGAAGATCCAGCAAATCCCAGAGTGTTCAGGGAGAAATCCATCTCCTGGGGCAGGGAGAAAAGGGGAATGCTCCTGATTTGCCTTGGGTGGCTCCTGCCTGTGGAGGCTGGAGGGAGGATGGAGTGGGTGGAATACAGGAAATGTGGCAAAATCAGGGTGGGAGTGGGGAAAAAAAAGACATTTTTGAGAGCTGCTGCTTGTGAAGGTGGCAGAGTGGGGAAAAAGGAACGTGGGGGAGATCTGTTTGGTGCCACACAGATCTGTGTGGTGGAGGGTCAGCAGCTGACCCACGCTGGCCACAGGGATATCCCCAGCACAGAACATCATTCCCAGGGATAGCCCCCAGCACAGAACATCATTCCCAGGGATATCCCCCAGCACAGAACATCATTCCCAGGGATATCCCCCACCACAGAACATCATTCCCAGGGATATTTCCCACCACAGAACATCATTCCCAGGGATATCCCCCAGCACAGAACATCATTCCCAAGGATATTTCCCACCACAGAACATCATTCCCAGGGATATCCCCCAGCACAGAACATCATTCCCAGGGATATCCCCCAGCACAGAACATCATTCCCAGGGATATCCCCCAGCACAGAACATCACTCCCAGGGATATCCCCAGCACAGAACATCATTCCCAGGGATATCCCCCACCACAGAACATCATTCCCAGCACATAAACTGGGAGAAGTGGTGGAGGGGTCCGATCACCCTTCAGGGATGGCTGGGCATCAGTCAGAGGGTGCTGAGCAAATCTCTGCTTTTCTCCAGGGGTTTTCCTCCCCTCTCTCTCTTTGCCATTGCAATTGTCATTGTGGGAGGGCTGTTTGCTGCCTTGCAGGAGGACCATCAGTGGCAGCATCAGTGGCAGTGCCAGCAGCTACAGCGGCTCCAGCTCCCGATCGAGGTCCTTGTCCCGGTCTCTCTCCAGATCTCATTCCAGATCATCCTCTGCCTCAGTCTCCCACTCTCCCTCTGGCTCAAGGAAATCCAGGTACAGCCCTGAGCCTTTGTGACCTTTATTTAACAGCAGGGGTTGTGGCTGTTGGTTTCTTGCAGTGGAAGCTCTCTGTAGCTCCAGCAGCACCAGCTGCAGGTGCCTGGGAGGTGGGACAAGGTTGGGTTTGTGTCCCAGATCCCAAGTCCTGAATTGTGATGGGAATACAGTGTTGGGGAGGGCATGGAGCGATAAAACAAGATATAATGGCCTTAAACTGACAGAGGGGATATTTCAATGGGATATTTGGGAAAAATGCTTCCCTGTGAGGGTGGGGAGGCCCTGGCTCAGGTTGCCCAGAGAAGCTGTGGCTGAAAGTGTCCGAGGCCAATTTGGACAGGACTTGGAGCAGCCTGCTCTTTTGGGAGGTGTTGGGGTTGGAACTGGGTGATCTTTAGGGTCCCTTGCAGCCCAAACCATTCCATGATTCCCTGATATTTCCCTTGTGGTTTATTCAAGGAAATAATCCTGTCATGTGTGTCCAAGTACCCATTTAAGCTAAATGGTGACCAGAACAACTCCTTCTGGCCAGGGTGATCCCACATCCTAATTAAACTACAAATGAACAGTTTCAGGCTATGGAGCTTGGCTCTCCTGAGCCTCTCCTACCTCTGGTTCCTGTCCTTAGGGAAGATGCTTGGCCTGTCAAGAGAGGTAGGTCAGAAAATCCCTAAAAGGCCCAGCTAATGATATTTTCCCTTTGCTGGAAAAGTTGTAGGTCCAGTTCCTTTGTGTTTAGCCCCAAGTGAACAGTTCCAAGTCTGTTGGTCTGTGGGATGTGTAAACAACAAAATCCTTCCAGCAAAGAAAAACAAACCACTCTCGAGTCATTCCTTCAGGTTTTTTTCATCTCTTCACACAGAGGATTCCCTGAATCCTCCCAGGCAGAGCCTTGAAACCCAACACTTCCCTGGCACATGGGTGTTAGAGTAGCCCTGTGGTGTAAAACCAGTGGATGGAGCAGGATTTGGCTCTGAGCAGCTGCAAATTCCCATCTGTGAACCCTGTGCAACATCCGCGTTATTTTACGGAAATCCCGGCTTGTTTACTCCGTGCTTGTCACGTTCATCAGCTCAGCCTGGGGTGATGCAAGAGCTTCAGAGAGCACCAGGGCATGGATGGGAAATGTGAGCACACTGGGGCTGCCTGTGCTGCTCCTGTGGGAAGGGGGAAACGTGGCAAATGCACTGTGTGCCCACACCAGGCCAGCCTGGTGGCCTGGAGGAGTTCCTGGCTCATGGAACAATCCATGAGACCTCTCAGAACTCGGCTCCTGGTGCCAGGGGTAGTGGGTGCAGAGGGTTGGTCCGTGCTGAAGCTGCCACAGCCCCTTCAGTCATCCCAATGCAGCTTCCAGCCAGGGAGCCTGGGCCCTGCTGGCAGAGCAGGGCGGTGTGGCCCGTGGAACAGGCTGGAGAGGCTGCCTGAATATTCATGGAGTGGGATGGCTTGGCTTGGAGAGGAGCTTGAAGCTCATCCAGTCCAACTCTCTGCCACCTTCCACTAGACTAGGTTGTTCCAACCCTGTCCAGCCTGGCTTGAACACTTCCTGGGATAGGCCCTGCTGGGAGATTTCCATCTTGGAGGCATCTCCCTGTCGTTATCAGTCGTGACAGTGCATGCGTGCCAGCAGCAGAAACCCTGCCAGGGAACCCTTGCCCTGAGCTGTAACACTGACCTGGATGTGCCAGTGCACTCCCTGCTTTCACTCCCTGTTTTCCTGGGCAAACAGTGACCTGTTTACACATTGCCTCAATCCTGGCTATAAATAATCATTACTTTCTAGGCCTGCACCCGACAGCTTTGGGGTTTTTATACCAGCAGCACCCCAGGACACACGGCCTTTGTGTGTCATTCCCTGCCGAGCTTCCCAACACCCAGCCACGCAGGGAAATGCGGAAAGGCCTCGTTGCCTTCCTGGGTGTGATGAGCTGTGGGTTCTTGGCAGGTCCCTGAGCGTGAGCAGCGTCTCCTCCGTGTCCAGTGCCTCGTCCAGCAGCAGCTCCGTGCGCAGCGCCGACTCCGAGGACATGTACGCGGACCTGGCCAGCCCCGTGTCCTCGGCCAGCTCCCGCTCCCCCACCCCGGCCCAGCAGAAGAAAGGTACAGCCACCTGCTCTGCTGGGGGTGTATTCCTCCAGGGAGTCTTGGGAGAAGAAGGGAGGAGCAGGGATCCTTCCCCGGCAATTCTGTGGGCTCCAGGAAAATCCTTGAGCAGAGGTGACGCAGGAGCAGAGATCCTGGGGAGAAGGGAGGCTGTGGAGCAAATTTAAATCCACATCCTTCCATCCCTGTGCCTCTGGTTGTCTCATCCCTTTTCCTGCCTGGCAGTTCTTCCTCTCCCATTCTCTTTCACCCTTGGAAGGTGATGTAAATCTGGACAACTCCAGTATCACTTTGCTCTTCCTCTGCTCGTTCCAGACCATGGCAGTCTGTGGCAAAAGCCTTTTGTTCTTTGTCTTTTCTGTTGCTCTCTGGAAATGCTGGTTTCCTGAATCCCTTAACCTCGTGTCCACAAGCTGAGCTAACTGCTGTGGGCTTTTCCATCCCTGCAGCAGCGTCCTCTTGCCCAAAGGGAGAGCAGGCAACAGGAACCATTCCCTAGTGACCACTTGTGCTCTCTGCTTTCAACAGGAAAGTCAAAAAAAGAAGACAGTGCTAAAGAGGAGAAGAGGAAACGGGATGTGCCTGCTCAGCTCCTGAAATCAGCCAAGCCCACCCCGGGAAGCAAATCCCAGCAGCTGCCCCAGGGCCAGCAGCCCTCGGCCCCCCAGGCACAGCAGGGCAGCTTCAGCGGGCACAAGGAGATCAAACTGACGCTCCTGAACAAGGTGGGAATGAATCCCTGGAGGCTGGGATTCCCTGCCCCTGGGGGCCTGAGGGGGATGGATCCTGGCAGGAGGGGATGGATCCCAGCTGGAGTGAAGGGGATGGATCCTGGCAGGAGGGGAGCTCCAGGCTTGGCTCTGTTGGGATGAGCTCAGCCAGGAAGGTCTGGGGCTGGCTTGGAGGGCAGCACACAGAACCAGTCTGGCAGCACACACCCTGTGGTGGCTTCACTTTGGGGCTGTGTTGGCGGCTTCCCTGGGGCACATTCCTGCTGCAGCTTCCAGGCTCTTCCCCGCTTGCTCGAAGGTCCCGGTGTGCAGGGACCTTTCCCCTGGGAGATGCTCTGGGAGTGCTTCCTGTGCCACACCAGGGAACAGCAGGCACACAGGGCAGAGGGACAAGGGGCAGGGCAGCTCCTGGGGTGCCCAGCTGCCTCTCCCCCTCTCCTCTGCTCCCGCTGCCCCGGCTGGAGCCTCGGCGCAGATCCCAGCCCGCAGCCCGTGTGGGGGAGTTGGGCCTCGTGGGGTTTGCTGCTGGGGCAGGGTGTTGGCCCCATCACGTGGGCAGGTTCCTGTTTTTGATATTTTGCTCTGCCAGCCCAAATTCCCCGGCGCAGTCTGAGGCTGCAGATTTCTCTACTTCCCTGTGCTCTGACGTGAGGAGGCTTTATCAGAGGCAGGAAGCTGCTCCGGAGGGAGGAGTGTGCAGTGACACATGACAGCCTGGAAAAGGCACGGCTCCACATGCCTCCTTCACATCTGCTATCCTTGGTGCTGCTGGGCAAAAAAACATCCCAGAAAGCTGCTGTTTTCCTGTTGCTGTTCTGAAATTAGTACAGCCTTAACCCCGGTGCAGGGGGGTGTTGCTGTTGGCTCCTGGTGGTTGGGAATTAGGCGGATTCGGGGATGGCTGGGACTGGTGTGTGCAGAGTTTATTGGGAAAGGTGTTTGCAGCACATCCCAGGGAAAGGCTGTGCCTGTTTCCCTCTGCAGAGGGAAGTGGCTGCTCAGCTCCATTGTTTTAATTCCATTGCAGGCAGCTGACAAAGGAAGCAGGAAGAGATATGAGCCAGCAGACAAAGAGAGGCCAAGCTCTCCTCCAGCCAAACGGGCCAACCTGTCACCTGACAGAGGTGAGGCATCCTCCAGCCCGGGCCCTGCTTTCCAACAGCTGGAAAGATCCACTGCAGTCATCCCAAAACCTCACAGTGACGTTGCCACCAGATAAAGGGGGGTTATTGGCCATCCTGCTGCAACAACACAGCAGAGCTGAGGCCCTGGGCAGGCCTCAGGGGCACATTGTGCCCAGTGTGCCTCCTGTAAGTCCTGTCCAAAAAAACAGCCCCTTGGCTTTGAAGACACGGAGTTCTCACTTCCACATCCACCCCACAGCCTCCTGCTCACTGCTGCTGGCCTTGGATGTAGCTGTGGACAGCTGGTTTAGTTTGGAAATTAGGAAATATTTTTTCCCAGAAAGGAACAGACCATCAGGGAGGGAGTCCCCATCCCTGCAGGTGTTCCAAAAACGTGTGGATGTGGCACCCGGGGACAGGGTTAGTGGTGACCATGGTGGTGCTGGGCTAGAGGTTGGGTTGGATGATCCTGAAGATCACTCCAAGCCTCAGCCACCCCAGGACTGTGAGTCACAGGAGTTTCCTTTGGTGCATCCCGGAGTTTTCCCGGGACAGCTGTCCCTGCCAGCCAGGCTGGTGCTTCGAAAGGCTGGGCTGGAGGGAGGGATGCAATCAACCCCTGCCTGCATCAGCCAGCCTGGGACATGGGCTGATTGCCCCACCTCTGGGTGACACAACCCGCTCTGCCCTGGATGTTTAGAAAGACCTGGGCTTTCCAAGTGTTCTCCTGGGCCTCAATCCTCCCCAGCAGCAGGAGCAGCTGGGGAAACCGAGCTGGCAGCCACAGACAGGGCCCTCAGTGCCACCCTCCAGCCTTTGCTGTGGCTGCCAGGAGGCAGAGGGAGTGGGGGCAGAGTTGGCAGCCAGAGGTGGCTGCTGGTGACGTTGGAACTGCCACGTGATGTTGTTTTCCCTGGTGGCTCAGCTGTAGGTGGATCTTGTTGACTCTGGGTGCCAGCCAACAGAAGGTCTGTGCTAATAACCTGCAACGTTCACCTCCTGCCAGGGCAGCCTGCAAGGGACTGCCCGAGGTTGAAGTTCACTGGGGTCTGGTTCACACACGAGTGGCAGGGCCAGGCCAGCACGCTTTCTAGAGAGACATTGGTGTCATCCCCTGCTTTCTGTCAAAAAGCAATTCTTGAGCTGCAGCAGATCGTAGAAGCACAGATTAATTTGGGCTGGAAGGGACCAAAGAGCCAGGGACACCTTCCACTACCCCAGGTTGCTCTGAGCCCCATCCAGCCTGGCCTTGGACACTTGCAGGGATGAGGAGTCCCAGCCATGGAGCCCCAAATCCAATGGCAAAGGTGCCCTTGGCTGAGTTGGGACTGAGCCCCTCGGCATCCCAGCACCAAAACTGCTCAGTGCTGGTGGCTGAGTGTGTCAGCTGCTCTGTGAGCTGCACCTGTGGGCTGAGGCTGTCCCAGTGTCCATCCTCAGGAGCAGAGGGATGCCCTGGCACACGCAGGGGCTGCTGCCACGAGGGACTGGGCACCTCTGCTCCAGCTGGGGTCACAGCAGGGCAGCAGCTCCACAGGCTGCCTTCCAGGTGGAATTCCCTCTCTGTTCCTGGGATAGCCCAGCTGCTCCCCAGCATCCCTGGGTGCCCAGGGCAGCTCTCTTGGGGCAGGGCCTGGCAGCTGAGCCGTGCTGAACAAACACGGGGGTGCTGCTGCCTCGGGGGAGGCCCCGCTGGCTCCGAAAGCAGCAGAGCTGCCCTCGCCTGTCACTGCTGGAGCCAGTACACCCTGTGACCCACCAGGGCAGAGCCAGCAGCTCTGCAGGCACAAAATGCCACGGCAGAGCCTCACTCCAGCAGCTGGAGGGTGAGGAAGGGCTGGTGGAAGGTGGTGTGTACAGGAGACTGCGGGGCACAGCCTTGCTGGCGTCTCCGCTCTCCCAGGGGTGCAGGGGGCTCACAGTGAGGCTTTTCCAGCTGCTGCTGGACTTGGCATTTTTTTTGGCACGATGTGGTCAGTCGGTGCAGGCAGGGGGTGGCCTGTGCCTTGGTGCCAAGCAGGAAAATGAAGGAATGTCCTTTTGCTCTCCCCCAGGCTCTCGCGATAGGAAGGCGACCGGGAGACTCTCGTCCCCCAAGCAGGAGCGGCAGCGGGGCCAGAACCCAAAACCTTCCCCTGCACAGGCAGACAGGTGAGTGCTGCTGCTTCTGCCGGGCCTCTCAGCCCCCCAGGGCCTGCAGCCCTGCTCCTCCAGGGCTCCAGCCCCGCTCCCAGGCTGTCCCAGGCTCTCCCAGGCTCTCCCAGGCTGTCCCAGGCTGTCCCAGGCTCTCCCAGGCTGGCAGCTGCAGTTGCTGTGGAGCGCAGCACGAGGAAGGACGCGGAGCTGCCTGGGCAGGTGCCAGGGGTGCCAGGGCTTCCTGCAGAGCCTCCAGCTGGGCCATTCCAGCTGGGAGAAGAGCAGGAGCACCAGGAGCCAAGTGGGTCAGGAGTGAGCTCAGCCAGTGCCTCTGCAGCTTGTTAGCACAGTGTTAATGAGCACCAGAGTGCAGCCCCTTCCCCCTGGCCAGCTCCTGGTTCCAGTGCCTCATTCCCCTTTTCCCAGCCTGGCACACCCTCAGCTGCTCCTTTTGCCAGCTGAGGCATATTCAGATGTGTCCCCTGGCTTTGCACCTTCCATCCATGCAGGTGCCAGGTGAGCAGCTCAGCCAAACTCCTGGCAGGCTGTGCCTGCTGCAGCACTGGGAATGTCCCAGGGCAGGGCTGGATGTGCGGCTCTGGGGGCTGCGGATCCTCTCCACGGATCTCTGGGGGCAACATCACAGGGAAGGGGCTGAAGGGTTTGGGATTGAGGGGTGCTCCAGGGCTGCTCTCCCCTCTGGGGCTCACAGGGAGCTGCTCACTGCAGCCACGAGCTGGCACTGAGTTTAATCCTGGGAATTTGGGAATCCCCATGGAATGGCTGTTTTTTACTGTTCAAGCCAGTTTTCAACCCAAGGCCTCCTCCTGTCTCCAACCTCTTTTATCCCACCTACTCCTGGAGCCATGTGTTAGATGTGGCACTTCCTGGTGTTTTAGTTCAGCTCAGAAATTAGGGAGAAATCCTTCCCTGTGAGGGCGGGCAGGCCCTGGCACAGGGTGCCCAGAGCAGCTGTGGCTGCCCCTGGATCCCTGGCAGTGCCCAAGGCCAGGCTGGAGCAACCCTGGGTACTGAAAAGAGTTCCTGCCTATGGAAAGAGATGGAATTTGTGTGTCCTTTCCCATCTAGTTTTATCAGGCCAGTTTGACTGTGTCCTTTCTCATCAAGCCATTCCTGCACAAAATTCTCTACACCTTAAAACGGCGATTTCGGCGCAGCCAGCGGGGCTCGGTCCTTGGGGCCATCCCCAGCTCCTGTCACTGCTCCCTCTCTGTCCCGCAGGAAGCGCCAGCTGTCCCCTCAGTCCAAGAGCTCCAGCAAAGTCACCAGCGTGCCGGGCAAGGGCGCGGAGCCGGGCGCTGCCGCCGCCAAGGGCGGCAAGTCCAGCACGCTGTCGCGGCGCGAGGAGCTCCTGAAGCAGCTCAAGGCCGTGGAGGACGCCATCGCCCGCAAACGCGCCAAGATCCCGGGAAAAGTATAGTGGGGCCACGGCCCGCAGTGACTGCTGGTGTTTTTATCGTAAAGAGCGGGAATTGCGGCCGCTTTGGGGTTTTGCAGTTCCTCCTCTTCGTTTTGGCCGCGGTTCTTTTTAACAAAAAAAAAACAAACAAAAAAAAAAAAAAACAAAAAAACACACAAACCCACCTATCCACACACACACACAAAAAAAATCCAGAAAAATTAAGGAAGTTTTTGTCCGGCCGGGAAAAGCCCGCGACGAGCGGCTCCGGGAGGGCTGCGGGGTCTGTAAATTGTGCACAGAGGACTCCAGCCCCGTGGGGTGCTCCCGGCTCTCCTGTGTCCCCTCTCCTCTTTGCTAGGCTCGAGTTGTATTCTCCTAGTTAGCCCTGCTGTGTGTTGAGTGTCTTCAGCAATGCAGTTCTAGTCCCGTGTGCCGAGAGAGCCGAAAACTGCTGTGAACTGCTGGCAGCACCCCTCCTCTCCCAGGAAAAATATATATATATATATATTCCTGCCTCAGTCCCCTCGGGAGTGACCTGTCGTTTCTTTGGAGCAGGGGGTCGGTTCCGTTGAATTCCCAGGAGCCCTGCAGGTGTTGTGGGCGTGTCTGTCTGCCAGGAGGGTCCTTCTTCCTTTGGTTTTCCTTTTTTTTTTTTTGGTTTTTTTTTTTTTTTTTTTTTTTTTTTTTTTTTTTTTTTTTTTTGGAGGGATCTCCCTGAAATAAAATATTTTGATAACCAATTTTACCTTTTCCTGCTTTTCTCTGCATCACATTGCAGGTGGGGGGGTCTGTACCCCTCACTTTGGGGGTTTTTGGGGCATGAGCAGCTCTGTGGAGCTGGAAAAGCTGCTCTGATTCCTGGGGGAGCACCCAGTGTGAAACCAGTGCATTTCTGCTGTGTAACTGGGGGGTTCTGCAGCTTCTGCCCTGCCTGGCACCATTGTTGGGGTCCCTGTGATAAATCCCCCTAATTTAGGGAGCCGTGTTTGGGGGCCCTGAGGGTCCCAGTGGATTTCTCAGGCTCCTTGTTCCCAGTATGGAACCAGTGTCCTACTGGTGTGAAATGTCACTGGGGGGCATCATCTGGGGTACCTCTGCCAGATCCCCCTCATTCAGAGCCCAATTTTTGGGGTCCCTGGGATTTCCCATCCCCTGGGATTTCCCACCCTCCAGCCCCGCTCCTTGCTCCCAGCAATAAGGAAAAGAAGAAACCAGTGTCCCTCTGGAGCTGCTGGAGGCCGCGGGGCCATCCCGGAGGGGTGATGGCAACCCTCGAGCCCTTCCCAGCGTTGCCCAATTTGGGATTTCTGCCCGGGAATGCCATGGTGATCTCACGGTGCCGGTGACGCAACAGGGGCACGGCCTGGGGGATGCCCGTCCCGGTGTCACCGGGACACCCCTTCCCACCTCCCTGCCCAAATTCTGGAGCTCTGAGGCGCCCGAGCTCCCGGCCGGCACACGTGGAGTGCAGGAGGAAGTGGCGGCGCGGAGCGGGAGGAGGAAGGAGCGTGCTGGAGTTTCCAGGTGTGTGCACATCACCTGCCCGGCCCTATAAAAAGGCGGCGGCGGCGGCGGCGCTGCCACTCGGCCGCCTCATCCCCGGGGCTGCGCTTCCCGAGGGTCCCCCCGAGCTTTTCCCCAAATTCGGGAGTGTTCCCTGCCCCTCCCTCGCCCCCCCAAATCTTGGCGTGGTCCCTCGACAGCTGGCTGATGGTAACGTGGGGTTTGGGGGATGTTGGGGGTGAGGGGGGAAAGGTGGGGCTGGCGGGGGGGGGGGGGGGCATG